AATATATATATATATATATATATATATATATATATATCTGAATCACTATGTTGTACACCAGAAATCAACACATCATAAACTGACTATGCTTCAACTGAAAAGAAGAAAATAATTCAAGGACTTCAGGAAAAGCATCATGGGAAAATGTGGATGAGAGGCAGGCCCTGTAGATATCAAGGAAGGGGAAAGGGTGTTTATAGGAGCAGGGAAGCAGGAATGGCCTGGGTTAGTGAGGACCCCACCACCAGCCAGCCTGCTTGGTTTGAAGATGAGTGAGGAGAGACTCAGGTGGATGAGGGGCCAGGCAGGAAACAGTAAGGTTTATAAGCACAGGAGAAAATTGTGCACAGGCTAATCTTCTTAAAGGGTCAAACAAAAGAAGGAAAATATTTTTTTGCCTTTTTAGCACGTGCCAATTTCTAGATCAAGGCCAACCATATGAGTGACTCAAAGGCAACCTGCTTGTCACGTAACTGGAAAAAGAAAAAAAAACCTGGCCTGCACAATGGGCTCAAATCCAAGCTTCTTAGACTTATAGGAAAAATTCTGATCGGAAAATTTCCATCTCAAATTGTGTTGAGGAAGCTGAGGGACTGAGTAAGCATGTTGGCAGCAGAAGCACAATATGATAATCAGTCTGCTTTTGCATTTTCACCACACTGCACAGAGTTCTTCAGGTCCTGGGGAGACCTTAGTAAGTTTTGATCTCTGACCCATCAAGGGGTCAGAGAACCGATAAGGAAATACACTTTGTTCACAAATGGAACTGCACCAAGAACTTTCCCCCTACATCCTATGAAGTGACCAGAGGTGTTCAGACTTCCAAAGCTGAGTATGTTAGTTTCACCCAGGCTAATCCTACAAAACGGGAATGGGATTAGATATTAACTGTTGCAAGAGACATGAGTCAGAAGCACTGAACTGTCTCAGTCTCTTCTGGTAGCTCAGGGTTCCAGGGCAGCTCTTTTCCCCTCTGGTGTATCTTCTCTTTTTAAATGAGCAGTACTGATGAATTCCTGGAATTATGTCCCCGTGGATCTGCCTTGCTCTAACCAATACTCTTCCCACTCCATCCCACTTGCCCTGGCTTCCCAGAGACAGCAGAGAAAGGAGATGAGAGAAAGATTTTAATATTACCATCTCAAATCATCATTGAAACTTGATGTTCCTAAAAGCTGTTTTTAATACTTTTAGTCCCCAGTGGAAGCAACTGTATCTCCTACTAACCATCACAAATCTTTATCCATTCATACATCCATCCATCCATCCATGCATCCTTTAAATTTTATCTACTGAACCCTTACTTAGGTTATAAACTGTGTATAGTTTTTAAATACTTCATAGAATTTTAAATAAAAAATATTTTTAAAGAACTTAGTATTCTCACTGTAATACCTCAAAATACTTCAGAGAAAGAAAAATGCCCCAAATACTCAAGCAAGATGAACTGAGTATTTTCAAATAGACTCCCAACTATAATACCCGAAGACTAATGAAATGCAGTTGACCCTTGAACAACATGGGATTGAACTGTGCAGGTCTACTTGTACATGGTTATTTTTAATAGTAAATACTGGAGTATCACACAGTCCATGATTTGTTGAATCTGTGAGGAACCAGGAGTACAGAGCACTGCCTATAAATTATAAATTATATCTAATCAACTTTCACGTTGTTCAAGGGTCAACTATACTTTAGAAAGGGACTAAAAATCATTCACTCAAAATGTAATCCCAATGGTAGTTTATAAAATTTCTATGTTTCATTTTCATCAAATCATGCTCCCAATATCTGAAAGAAAACTAGAGGAGTCGGTTAATCTTGAGCCAATGATAGAGTCTAGTTCTCACAGATTTATCTGGGTTCCAATTGCATTCAGCCACATATATAGTATTAACAAGAAAAAGTTAACACAGCTTTCAAAAATGTCAGATTGGAACCCCACAAGAGGCTAACTCATTAAACAACCATACTGGTTGTCATATTGGGTCAATCATTCTTTGCAATTACCAACTCACCGGTTTGAGGAAAATTAACATTTCTAGGTCAGCAGGTTTCATATACTTACCTACAACTGGTGCCCTGGAACCAGGAAAGTCATTTTATTTAATATAGGTGGGCCAACTAGATCCCAGAGAACAAGCTACTCACCCATGTATTTAATAGCAGAGGTGGAGCACTGAGCTCGCTTCCCTACTAGGAAGGGGAAAAGCACCAGGGCTTTGGGGGAGGACAAGGGCAATGTGACCAAATTAAAGCTCAGTGGTTATGTCTTTATGATTTTTTTTCTGATTTGCACCCCACATACGTTCCCTGGGATGAACTTAAAACACTCTAAAAATGTGTGACAACGTAAAGTAAAATAGAGACCCAACAAAACTGGGACAGAGCCATAGCAATTACAAAGGCACTCATGGTACTACTTTTGAAGAAGACAATTTATTAATATTGTCTAGAAACTTAATTGTTCCTACCACTTAACCCAGCAATTCTGACTTTAGGCACCTGTTCTAAGAAAATCGCTAGAGAGATGATTTAGATTCATACAATCATTTATCACACAAATATGATAGCAAGATATTGGAAATAATCTAAACTTCCAGCATTGGGTGATTGGTAAAATTATGGTTTAATTATAGGATGTTGCAAAAGAATGCTCACAGTATTGTGTTTGGGACCAAAACAAAATAAAAATAGGTAAGACACTATTTTACATATAATTCCTATACTCCTCCATCTCTCTCTCACACACGTGCACACACACACACCCCTACATACCCCCAGAAGAAAATGCATCAAGCATGTTTATAGTGATTATGTTTGGGGCTAGAGGTAAATTTTATCTTCTTTTTTACACTTTTCTTTATAATCCAAGTTTTCATCAGGGAGCATATATTTTTTCTCTCATAGCCCCTATTCTTTTCTTACATAGCATTTAACTAAATTTATATTCATGTTCTTATATCTGTGTTTATTTAATGTGTGTTTTCCCAATAAAATGCAAGCAATAAAATGAGAGGAGGGTATATATCTTTTTTTAAATTGCATACCTGGGTTTTTTGAGGGGCATAGTACCTGCTATATAATAAAAATTTTAAAAATGACTACTGAATGAGCAATTGCAGGTACATTATGTAGAAGATGTATGGGGATGTAGGGGGTTCTAAGGGACTATCAACACTCTGTCACATCTCTAGTCTCCAGTTCATTTGCTCAAACAATACATCATTTTCCTTGCTTAGTTTTGCCTCCTAAGGTCACACAAGACTCCATTCTCCATTAGGAATGTCTTTGCTTTTCCTCTCCACCTGTCAGAACCCCACCAAGACCCTACTTTTTCCACGAGGCTGTTCCTGTTCAGGGAAGCATCCCTTTCGCCCTCACCACACTCACTCACTGGGAAGATCAACTTTTTTGAACTTCACTGGGTTCCAAACACGTTTTTGAACAGGGGTCAGCAAACTAAGGTCCATGGGCTGCCACTTGGTTTTGTAAACAGAGTTTTGCTACAACACAGCCATACCCACATACTACAACGGCAGAGGGACACAGACTGTATGGTCAGGAAGAACTAAAATATTTATTATCTGGCCCTTTACAGGACAATTTACCAACCCTGTTCTAGAACACCTACATACTTGTGCAAAGCGCAGATAATACCAAATTTTTATCCTATTAGGTTATTCTTAGGGCAAAATAGAATCCAAAGTATACTGCAAGAGCTTAGTAAAAAAGAAATTATTTATATATAATGCCTAATAATTAATAAATAATATACCTAGTTTTTTTTCTTAAGAACATACATTTTTGTGTCAGACAGACCTGCTTTCAAGTCCTGAATCTGCTAATTGATACTGGGCAGATTACACAACTTGTCTAAACCTCCGTTTTGTCATATATTCTCCCACTTCCTTATTAAACATGTCATGAGTGCTATTTACCAGGCACTGTACTAGGAGATGGATAATAGACAATGGTGAATAAGACCTAAAAGTCTCACCAGTTCAGCCTTAATCGTACATACAGCTGAGGGTTGTTGTGAGGATTAAATGATACACACACACACACAGCTATTATCATACATACATGCATACACACCAATGTAATATACCATGTATACATAATATATAGGTATATCATATATGGTATATATAGAGTTCTTAACTCAGTTCTTGGTACACTGTAGGTACTCAGATGATGGCTCTTCCTCCTCATGATAATTACAACAGAAGCTCTTTTAACAGAACTCTAAGAAGCTAACTTACTGGATGAAAAAAATACCTTCAATTCCCTCTGTAAAATGGGTCTCTAGACTGCCCTGTACTCACAGGTAACTTAGTAGGCAAATCTCTGGCTCACTGGCACACCTCTGCTTCTGGTTGAGCTACATGTCTACTGAGAGTCAGCTGTATTTGCTCTCAAATCTCCTGATGCTGCGTATACTTGCTATTTAATGAAATATCATGGAAGGTGATGAAAAGAATGGTGTAAAAAGGAAGAGAATGATTGTTTCCTATGAAAATGAAGTTGAATGCTTTCAAAAGATGACCAAGAACTGTCAATTCAATGTGGAAGAGAGAAAAGACTGGGGACAATCAGAAAAATTTAGAAGGATCTGTAGAAAGATTACTTCTCAGGTATCTAGACCCACTCAACTTTAAGGAAACCAAACCCAGACAAGGTCTTTATCATTTTGGGTGTGGTTTGTGCAAGAAAAATCAGCAGACCCATATTCCAAGATGAAGCCTTGATTCTTCAACAGGCTCTTCATCAAAATCAGGCAATGCTGTTTAAAATAGGTATATCATTTTTATGATTCTCTGCCTTAGCTTTTCCAATCTGCCATCAACTACTAGTCCCAAATGGATGGAGTGAGAGAGGGATACTTTTGTATTGATTTAATGCTCACATACAAACCATAACATGTTAGGCAGGGGGCAAGTTGCCTCATCCCCTGTCATACTTTATAGGCAAAAAAAATACTCAGAGAGATGGAGTGACTTGTCCAAGGCCTCAGAACTCGTACTGCTTGAGTTGGGTCTAGAGCCAGGCAGGCTTGGATTCCACCATCTCGGCCACGGGTGATAACACAGAGGCAAACACAGCACAGACTCACCCAGCCTGGCTTGTATAATCGATTAAGTACATTTTGAGAAGAACAGAGTGTCATCTGCCCAAATAGATGGAAAGATACATGAGAACAAGAACTTATACATCCCCACGCTTTTCAGCATCACTAGTATAGCAGCTGGCAAGAAATAAAATAATTTTGTGGGATTTGATGAATTTTCTTCCCTATTTTATAATGAGGTGGGAAGGCCCGTGAAAAAGACAGCAGGACCCCCAGGCAGGGCCACTACTCTCCTGCCAGCACCATTCAGTTCCCTGGCCCAGCGGCATTATCTGGCTTTTTAACTTGGAAATGGCTTACTTCTAGGAAAGCAGAACTTATCTCTAAGATTCTATTGGTTCCCTGAGCTAACTCCTGATTGGTCCATTTCTATTGCTCCTGATTGGTTCATTTCTATCACTCTTGATTGGTCCATTTCTACAAAGCGTGTTCCTAATTAGTCACCTTTGTTACACTTTATTTGCATATGATGTTGTGAAGTATAGACTGGCAGCCTACAAGAGCCTGTGTAAACCTACAGATGGGGTCCAGAGCTTGGAGTGTTAACTCCTCTGGGCCCACTGGCATAATAGACCTGAGTTCTCCAACTCTCCAATTGCTGCTTGGTCTCTCACCTGGATCCAGATTGCTGTCACAACTGAGCTGTGACATACTTTGCTGCAACAGTAACAGTGGCAGAAATAGGGGCTTCTGGTTTCTCAAGGAATCAGGTTCACATGGGGTTTACAGCCCCCTCCATGGAGCACACAATAGCAGGGGAGATGTTCCCTTGTGCCTGTCAGACTGTGTCACTCAGAACTCAGCTTCACTGACTGGCACCTACTCTTCCCTGTCAGTGTGGTGAGATGAGCAGCGCCCTGCTCACCAGATGGTTATTTGTTCCACCAGCCACCTTTGCTGCATCCCTGATTCATTCCAGCCCAGGACAGTCTCCAGCATTCATGCTGCAAGGCAGCTCCTGCCAACAACTTTGCCAAATGGCTCCTCTCAAAGTCATGGGCCGCCCAGACAGACTGGCTCCTCCATCTGCAGCACCTTTTGGCAAAGAGACGACTCCCTTTCTGGCTCCACTTCTTGGCTGCACCAGAGCCTTCTTGCCAGAAGGATGATCTGACCCATCAGTACATACAGCCAGACTTGGCATTGTCAGGCCATTTAAAGCCTCTGTCTGTGTCCCCCAGACTCACCCCGGAGCACAATGTCAGAACACACAAAACAGACTTAGATGATCACAAATACAGATGTAGTGCATCATGGAAACTTAGAGCCTGGAAAATCTATAGAGAGCATGCCTCCCCTCTCCCATCTTCAGCCTCATTTTAATAGATTAGGAGACTGAAGCCCAGAGAGTAAAAGTGACTAATTATGGTGGCAGGACTGGGAATAACACCCAGGTCTGCTTATGTGCATTCCAAACTACTGCTTACCATAAAGACCACATAGCCTTCCAATTTCCCCCTCTGCTCATTTTCAAACTCTAGATAAAAATTAGACTCTTTGAATCGGGATTGATTCAATGGAGAATTTCTTTAGAAAAAAATGAATAATCATTTCTCTGCGTCAGCATCATGACTTAAAAAAACAAACAAACAAACAAACAAAAAACAAACCAGGCACGTCCACATACTACAGTTCCCTTGTGGATGGATGGAAAAGTGTTTTCTAGCTTTTTATGTTACATAAAACATATGGACAGACCTGGACATGACTCCTATTCCACCACCTACTGTTGGGGGGCCTTGGACAAGTAATCTCATTTGGTTTCACCTTGTCACTTCGGGGATATAAGGAGAGTAGCAACTAGAAAATACTTTAAAGCCCAAAGTTTGCTCCTGGCACACAGCAAGCCCTCTGCACGTGCTAGTAATCAACATGATTCTGTACTAACACTCAAATCCACAGAGGTTTAATATACCATATTATGTACCTATACATAGGTATGCCAGGTATTTCCATTTCTTACAGCAGGAAATTCAAGTTCATGAGGTTATCCAAGGTTATTCAGAGAAAAAAAAAAGGACTTGAGATTCCTTCTTGTCCTTTGCTAAGAGACAAGGACAAGCATCTTGGCTTTACAGATGCTAAAATCAGGAAGGAGCATGTTTAAACAAAAACATATACACATGAACAATCACTGCAGCATCTTATGTAATACAAAAAACCGGAAAGCACTTTTCCATCCATCCAACTGTGGTACAGTCACACCAAGGGGCACTATGCAGCCGTTAAAAAGAACAAGACCAATGTACGTGTCCTGACATGGAAAGGTCTTTCAGATCTATCACTGAGTGGGAGAGAAAACAAAGTGCAAATAAAATGAGCAGTATGCATTCGGTTACACAAACAGTCCCTCCCCCAGTGTGTATCTCTTCATGTACATTTAAACGTATGAAAGTGTACACAAAGGTGGCTTGAGGAAGCAGAGCAACACTGACAATGGTAACTCTGGGCAGGGAGGTGGGGTGGCTGTCAGGGTGGAGGGTGATTCATGCTTTGCTTTATCTACTTCTATGATGCCTGAATCCTTTCAAGTAAAAAGGCATTTATGCATTATTTGCCTTATAAATAAAGACATAAAGGCAGAGAGCAACATGAAAGGCAATACAGCTGTAATGAACCAACAGACCTCCTAACTTGGGTGTCCCTGGCCCCGACCTGACTTCCGCAAAGTTACATGAGCAATGCTACTCTCCTCAAGTTTCCTGTACAGCTCTCCTCTTAGGTAAAATACTTCCTGGTGGTATTCTGTACTTAGGGACCCAAGTTTTGCCTTCCAGACCACCTGGGAGTGCTCAGCATCCTGCTGCAATGCTCCGCATGAGAGCCCTTGACAGCTTTTCCATGCTTCACACCCTTGTGCATCTGGTGACGACCACAGAGCTGAGACCCTTGCATAAGAGGAGGAAGTGGCCTGCCATTCTGCAACTACTTGAGGTTCATGACTTCATGGATTCAAGGCAGTGAAATCAGCCATGATGATGGAGGGGGGCTGCCAGGCCCTCAGCATGAAGCCCAGTACACCTGGAAGGCATCCTCTCACAGGTAAGGCACTCTTTGGCACACTCTTCCAGCAAACCTCATCTTTCTCAGGTGAAAATTCTGCTTGTAGAGGCCCCTCCAGACCCTCAGACTCCATGCATCATTTTGCCTCTTACCCACAAAATCCTCTTCATTTCTTTACGTTTCCTAGAAGCAATCAGGTCTCTGTCTTCTAAGGCATAGAAATGGGAGTCTGACACACCCATCCTTTTCCAGGACCCATGATGATCTTTGCTCCAAAGAAACCATTTGTACCAATTAGTTGTCTAGGGATTTCACACATAACTCCCACTATTTCCATAGTGAACTTGCAGCATAACAATGAAAGGGTTCCTGGATTATTTACAACAAGCTCCTAGCAGTCTCGTAAAAAGAATCTGTGCTTCCACTGGGAGAGTTATGTCAGAATTGGTTTGTTAGGTCAGAGCTGATTTTCAGCCTCATTCTAGAGTTCTATTGGAAAGGCAACAGAAGGAAATTTAGTGGTAAAAATGACAAGCATAGTGAAACCAAACTCATCTTTTTTAATGGGAGATGGGTGGAGCACCACCAGAGAGTTGCTCTGGCCAAAATGAGGCTTCAGACACCCTCACATTTATGTGCAAAAGGACATCTGCCACTACCCAGCTGCCCCTGTCCCACTTCTTTTTGCTCTGCTCCAGGAAACTCTATGAGCTGCCTCCAGCTTTGGAGAATGCATGACTGCATGGCTCAGTGGGACCATCTCAGCCCAGCCTGGGAACTGCAATGTGAATGTCCCAGACAGCAGGTGAGGGACATGGAGAAGGCTCTAAAAATCCAGCTAATTTTCATACTTTCAATGCTCAATTCTGTAAGTATTTTTCTTCTTAGAGAGTAGAATAAATCTACAGGAGTAAGTCTGCCAAGGATTGTGGCACCGGGTAGGGAAATTCAGCTTCCTCTCTGCAGGACAAAGAGGAAGGCCCAGGCATGCGCAGTGCTGCACTGGGAAGAAATGGATCTGGTGAACTGAGTAGCACTGAATAAGTACCATGGGCATGTATGCAGACGGCAGAACATAACCTGCATTTCCCCCCACTAAAATCCAGCCAAGCGACAACAGGGGTGGGCAAAGAACACTTGCCTAGAATCAGGCACTGGTTTCAATCTGGTTCTGCCACATGTAAGTACGTGACCTTATCCAAGTTTTCTCGCTTCTCTAAACTTAAAGATTTCTTATTCTGATAAATGGGGCTAACACACCCATTCTTTCAGAGTCACTGAAGGAGATTCAATGAGTAAACACATGAGAAACACCTAGGAAAATGCCTGGAATACAGACGGTACTCAAGGAGACAGTACTTAGTTCTCATCCCTTGTCTAAGTATCCAAATTGGACCCTTAGTTTCTTCACAAATGCAAATGCCAGAGTCTAGGAATGTCAGTCTACAGCTGTACTCTTTTCATTGAGCATCACCAATATTTTGACAGGACTGGCCTAATATTATTCACCCCAGGTTCACTGGTACATTTCTGACCAGCTCTCATAAAGGGCTTGGGATCGCCCCTAGGGACATGGATGCTAATAATGAATACTTGCTAGTGATTTTCAATGCACTCTGGTTATTATGTTCAGTAGCAGAACAGTTCCTATCCCCGGAAAGGTCATTTATAATAGTTTAAGGCAGCTTCTTCCCACCTTCCATTTCAAATTTTTCTGAGAACAGCGGAGAACTCAAACATTCATCCATATGCATTGGAAATACTATTCTGATCTGGCATTTACATAAAAATACCAAAGCAACTTAAGGAACTGCAAGGCAGCTCTCCATCATGACACCACCTCCTTTTATTTTTCCGAGGCCTTCCCAGCACCGTCATATCAAAAGCCATTTTCATGTACCTTTCCAGTTTTATTCATCATAGCTTCCCTCTTTCTTGAGTGTGTATGGGAAGGATGGGGAGGGTGGGGAGGAAGCAGCGACTTTCACTTTCTCACTTTGATTCTTTTGCCTCTAAGAAGTTGTCACATTTCACAGACTACACAGATCTCAAGTTTGGAGACCTTCTCAACTCACCTCACCCAAGACTGGTCTCTTCTTATTCTTAAACATTACTGAAAAATGGCCATATAGTGTTATTTGAATACTTCAAGTGTGTGGTTAACTATGCTTAGACCAAGGCATTCCATTGTGAGGTACTTTTTGTTACAATTTTTCCTTAAACTGAGCCAAGATCAGTTTCCTTGTCATTTTTTACACATTGGCTGAAATTCTGCCCTGGAGTGCTCTTCTCCCAAGCATTTCATCTCTTCACATGCTTTTAAGTACCTTTAATATGCCAATAACATCCCAAATTACACATCTAGTCCAGATCTTTTTTCTGAGCTTCAGACCCAGATATCCACCCGCTCACTTAAGAGTCTTACTGTGAGACCAGATGACTCACATGCCTGATCAATTTCCAAAGTCTCTTTCCAGTCTCAGTGGGAAGCCCCATTAATGCAACCATTCTCATGGCAAGGTTCTGGGAGGTCATCCTCAATACCACCTCCATTGACTTCTCCATCTCCACCTATCTATCACACCATATAAGCTCTAACCATTCTTCTTCTACAGTACATTTCAGATCCACTGAATTGTCTCCATCTCTACTACTGCCACCATCCTAGAGTATGTCCTCCTAATTATCTCCCTGCTTTCACTCCTATTCACCTTCCACCCAGCCTTATGACCCTATTCTGCACAGCCACCAGCCAGAGCTCTGAAAAAACAAACCTGGTCACATTTTCCCCCTGATTAAAATCCTTTAATGGTTTTCGATCCATCTTTGGATAAGGTCCAAGCTCCTTATGGCCAACAAAGGCTCAACGTGACCTGGTCCCTAAATAACTCTTCAGTTTCTTTTCTTCTTCTTTTTTTTTTTGCAATATTTTATTATGAACATTTACAACCAAATAGCAAGGTTGAAAAAAAATTACAATGAACATCCATTGACTGACCACCTCAATTCTACCATTAACATTTGATACTTGCTTTATCATCTATCTGTTTATCCATCCCTCCATCCCAGCATTAATCATTCTTGGTTTTGGTCCATTTCAAAGTAAACTGTAGGCTCCAGTCTCATTCCCATTACTCCTCCTCTTGTATCCTACATTCAGCGCTAGGCATCTTCTCATTCTCTGAATCTGTCAGACTATTTTATATCTCTGGGCTTTGTACTTCTCATCCCTTCTACCAGAAATGTCTTTAGCTCTTGCTACTTCCTGCCTCATCCTTTGGTTCTCAGCTTCAATTCTGACTGAGAGGTGGTCCCTGAAACCCTAATCTAAATTAGATGCACCTTTCTGCCTTATTTATATATGATCTCCAAGCATCGTGTGCTTTTCCTGAATATCACTTATTACAGTTGGCAGCCATACTTTTGTGTGTGTGTCAAAGTATTTGTTTAATGTCTACCTCCTCCACGAGACTGAAAGATCTGTGAGAACAGAGCCCACGTCTGTACTGGAACAAATGGGATCACCTCTGCAGGAAGTCAGCTCATGTTTGCTGAAGGAGTTAAAGGCAGAAGGAATCAACAGTTCTACATTTATAATATATTAATATAACATCAATACATGGACTAAGTGAATTTGTTCTTCCTTTAATATGTACAAGCAGTAGAGGTCTTTTAAGGCCTCGGAGAGATGATGAAACTTACTGGCTGCCAGCACATAACCAGCAAGTACATTAAGGCAAATTGCTAAATAGCAAAACCATGGCTGGTGGCTGAGCCAGGAAGAGTGTGTGGTGGGTTTTAGTGACTTCTCTGCCATTTCCACTAGCCCTTCCCCTCGAGACCCCCCTTAATCAACAGCAATCCAAGGAGAAAGTGTGCCTGCAGTGCAAGAGCAGCTTAAGTAACAATCACAGCAGCTATAACGTATCAAGGGCGTTTATCCGGGTCTGGCTCTGTACCAGACACCGTCTTGAGCGCTTTCCCTGTGTTAGACATTTTTTTTTCCTGTGGCAGAGGTCCTGCTGTTATTTCCATTTTACAGCTAAGGAAACTGAGAACAGAATAGTTATTTTAAAACATGTTCCCTGACTTCCCCTTCTAACCAGATTGCCATTCCTGGAAACACCACTTAAAGAGAATATTTATTCTGTCTGTGGCCCCAGAATAGGAGTAGAAAGATTAATCTAGAAAACTCTCAGACTGCTCTAATGGAGACAGCATTTCAGTTGCTTCTAGCAAGTCTGATGTTTTTTGTAATGTATAATCCCTTACACACTTACAAACTATCCCTGCAAAGAATTTTACCCTAGATGGGAACAGAGTTTTATACACAAAGATAAAACCATTGTGGTCTTCCCCATAACGGGAGCTAATGGTTAAAGGAAAATGAGGCAGAGCAGAATTTCTTAGTAGAAGTGCATGGCCTTTAGACAGTCTTGAGTTGGAAGACAAGTTTTTCCCCTGACTGTGTGACCTTGACAAATGAATATCACCTCTGGACCTTAGTTGCTCAGTTCTCTTATTCAACAATGGAAATAACAACACCCACTTAGCAAGGTCTGGCTATACTGAAATGCTACTTAGAGAAAGCTCAGTAGAGTGCTTGGAAAAGAGAAAATACTCAAAGATACTGACTTCAAAAAAGGGACGAAAAGATAAGAAAAGGTAGAGGAGGGCAGTAACTTAATACTCAGAAGAAAAGAAAAGTCACAGGAAATATCTAATAAATGCACATCATGCATTCTTTTTCCACCAGAAAGAGAGAGAGAGAGGAGCTTGGGTAAAAGTGTCCTTTAGCATTTGCATTGCTCTTAGCTGGATGAACTTGCCTGCAGCTACCACTTACAATGCAAATTGAGCTTAGAGTCCTTCACACTAACTACACAGCAAAAACCTTTCAGCTTTAAATAGAATACTGCAGTGTGGCATGATCCAAGCAAAGGAAAGAAAAATTCAGAGATAAATGTGAAGGAGATTTTGGAGGAAAAAAAATGTCTGACATATCTGGGCAAGATAGGCAAATGCAGAAATATCAAAGGAGACAAAAAGAAAAGAAAGTCTATAGAAGGACCTAGAAACAAATTCCCCAGAAAGTGGCTTTAAGTTAATAAAGGGGAAGAGAACTTTGGGGCAAGCCTCCAG